CATCCTGATGGATTCTATCCGGGATTTTAAACTTAAAAAGGGAAAAACATTCCATCTATTTATATTAGACTTATTTTTGAATTTAAAGGGCCAAATCCAACATTTTTCAGTCAGGTCATCTGGACAGTTTCTTTTTTTGTGCTGAAACGTTTCACCTTCGATCCAGAAGGCTTCATCAGTCAAGGAAACACAACAAAACTGATTCTTCCTCCAACAGCTTACTCCAAAGTGGAACAAACCAGTTCTGCTTGTGATAAGACGGTTTCTTTGGTATGCCCAGATGACCTGACTGAAAAATGTTGGATTGTATACCTGGATTATTGAGCATGGACTTTATTGTTAAAGGCCCATAGTTTAAATCAAACAGTCTCGAGAAGTCCCGAGGTACTGATACACCCAAATATTTAATAGATTCAGCATCCCAATTCCAGTTGTACACAGTCCCCCCCGCCCCCCTTTTGACACTTAGGGCAAAAGCCTCCAGGATGGACCAGCAACCTGTCCCTCCAGGGAACATGAACAGATGGTGACAAGGTCTCCAACCGAGCTCACCAGTGCTCATTCCAGACGGCCGCAGCAAACAACGTCGCCCTGCTGGCCTACAGCATCTCTAAGAGGCTGGAGGAAGCAGACCTACTGAAGGAGACAAGAGCTCTCTCTGTAAAGCTGCTGATGTCATCTTAAACATGTGCCACCTCTGCGATCTGCCTGTCCCGCATCGCTGCCTGGATGACCATGATCCAGAGGACCACTTGGCTCCGCCTCTCACCATCCTTGTCAGAGAGGCTGCAGAAAGACCTGCTGGAGGGCCCCATTACCCTAGAGGCGTTGTTCGGGGCCAACTTCAGGACAATCCTTGAGAAATCGCAGCGGTCCAAGGAGGTCTCAGAGACTGTACACCATCTGGTGACGTCACAGTCCATCTGCCCCTCCGGCCGCTGGAGGGACCGCCTTGGCCAGCAACAGCACTAGAGGTGCTCCACAGCTGCGGCAGCGACTTCACGCCCTGCTCCTACGCCGGCTCCCTCCACCAGGTAATAGATCCTTGAGGGGAAGGTATGTGTTTTTTGATGATGTACAAACCGGATTCCAAAAAAGTTGGGACACTAAACAAATTGTGAATAAAAACTGAATGATATGATGTGGAGATGGCAAATGTCAATATTTTATTCGTAATATAACATAGATGACAGATCAAAAGTTTAATCTGAGTAAATGTAACATTTTAAAGGAAAAATATGTTGATTCAAAATTTCACAGTGTCAACAAATCCCAAAAAAGTTGGGACAAGTAGCAATAAGTGACTGGAAAAAGGAGATTGGGCGTATAATGAACAGCTGGAAGACCAATTAACACTAATTAGGTCAATTGACAACATGATTGGGTATAAAAAGACCTTCTCAGAGTGTCAGTGTCTCTCAGAAGCCAAGATGGTAAGAGGATCACCAATTCCACCATTGTTGTGCAGAAAGATAGTGCAGCAATACCAGAATGGTGTTACCCAGCGTAAAATAGCAAAGACTTTTAAGTTATCATCATCAACTGTGCATAACATCATCAAAAGATTCAGAGAATCTGGAACAATCGCTGTGCGTAAGGGTCAAGGCCGTAAAACTCTACTGGATGCTCGTGATCTCCGGGCCCTTAAACGTCACTGCACCTCAAACAGGAATGCCACTGTCAAGGAAATAACAGAATGGGCTCAGGAATACTTCCAGAAAGCATTGTCAGTGAACACAATCCACCGTGCCATCCGCCGTTGCCAGCTGAAACTCTACAGTGCAAAGAGGAAGCCATTTCTAAGCAAGCTCCACAAGCTCAGACGTTTGCACTGGGCCAGGGGTCATTTAAAATGGAGTGTGGCAAAATGGAAGACTGTTCTGTGGTCAGGTGAGTCACCATTTGAAGTTCTTTATGGAACACTGGGACGCCATGTCATCCGGACCAGAGAGGACAAGGATAGCCCAAGTTGTTATCAACGCTCCGTTCAGAAGCCTGCATCACTGATGGTGTGGGGTTGGATGAGCGCTTGTGGCATGGGCAGCTTGCATGTCTGGAAAGGCACCATTAATGCAGAGAACTATGTTCAGGTTCTAGAACAACATATGCTCCCATCTAGACGTCATCTCTTTCAGGGAAGACCCTGCATTTTTCAACACGATAATGCCAGACCACATTCTGCAGCAATCACAACATCATGGCTACGTAGGAGAAGGATCTGGGTACTGAAATGTCCAGCCTGCAGTCCAGATCTTTCACCTATAGAGAACATTTGGTGCATCATAAAGAGGAAGGTGCCACAAAGAAGGCCCAAGACGATTGAACAGTTAGAGGCCTGTATTAGACATGAATGGGAGAGCATTCCTATTTCTAAACTGGAGAAACTGGTCTCCTCTGTCCCCAGACGTCTGTTGAGTGTTGGAAGAAGAAGGGGGGATGCCACACAGTGGTAAAAATGGACTTGTCCCAACTTTTTTGGGATTTGTTGACGCCATGAAATTTGGAAACTACAGATTTTTCCCTTAAAATGATACATTCTCTCAGTTTAAACTTTTGATCTGTGATTTGTGTTCTATTCTGAATAAAATATTAGATGTTGGCACCTCCACATCATTGCATTCAGTTTTTATTCACAATTTGTTTAGTGTCCCAACTTTTTTGGAATCCGGTTTGTATGTTTTTGATATAAAACTGAAACACCTCTGAAAGTAAAGTTTTCATCTGAGACTGTCAGATCAGCTGATCTCTCAGCTGCCTCTCTTCACACATTCCCCACACAGAACGAGCCAGTAACCTCTAAACAGTGTTTTAAATGACACCGCAGTTCAGTAAATATCACAAGCCAGAGCCCGTTTTTAATTTCTGCGGTTTTCTGCCCACTCACAGCGCAGCAAGAGTAAATGTGTTTTCTCCACGACATCTGCAGCCTCCACCGAAACGGCGTCGCACTCAGAAAGTGCTCAATCCTCCTCTCGGTGCACACCAGCTCACCTCAGCTCTATGTGAGACCGCAGCCTGGGCTCAGCACAGAGGCACACATTCAGCTCTTTTTCTGTCGGAGCCCCCATTGGTTTCCCCGGAGAATCTCCGGAGCGAGTGATGGCAGTAAGGGTTTTTAGTCTGTCTGACGTTCATGAGAAACATGACGCAACACAAAATGTGTGCCCGCTCTCCAAGCGTTACTCAGAGTGGCAGCGTGTGTGTTCCCTGGACAGATGGACGGACCATTTGATCAGAAGGGGTTACACGCTGCAGTTCGCAGCTCAACCCCCATCGTTCAGAGGGATTATAGAGACGGTTCTGACTTCTCCAGAACAGAGCTCGTCTCTCCAGTCAGAAGTTCAGGAATTTCTGACGAAAAACGTGATTTCCTGAGTTCCCAACAGAGAGGAAAATACTGTTTTTTTTTTCCTCCCACTACTTCCTGGTTCTGAGAAAAACCGGCGGGATGAGACCCATTCTCAACCTGTTCATGTTCAGCAATTCGATCATGGGGAGACAATTCCACATGCTGACAAACAGCTGCTGGAGAACTTCACCACAACGACTGGTTTTCACCTCCATAGATCCAAAGAGCACATAATTTCACATTTCCATCATTCAGAAACACCCCATGCACGTTCTCAAAATGTGTGGAGACGGCTCTGCAGTCGTTACACATGGCAGGAATGAGAAATCTTTTTATCTGGACGATCTGCTCTTATTATCTTGGTCCAGTTAGAAAGCTGTCTGACAAAACGCTAATGTTACACCTGCTAAACCTGGGGTTTTTCTATAAACTGGGAAAAACTTCTGTTCGTCCAACCCAGATGATTGTTATCTGGAAGTGGAGCTAAACTCAACTACATTGAGAGCCGAAGCTCTATCAGCGGTTGTAAAAATTGATCTTTGCAGGGACCAGCACACAAACTTTTTGCCCCGCTCCCCTCAGGCAGGAGGTTGAGGAGCATTAAGTGTAGAACCACTAGACTGAGGAACAGCTTCTACCCTGAGGCTGTTAGACTCATGAATCTCTATCCAGGATAATCACTGTGAAAAATCACATCATGCTGCTGATTTGTTTTATACTGCTGTGTTCATTCGTGCTCATCTGCTCACACAGACTCATGTTTGTGCTGTTGTTTGGTGTTTTTTTTTTAATATACTAGTAGTGCTTAGTGCATTTTTAGTTAACGTTTTTCTTAGATCATATCTTAGATCTTATTACTGTTTGTCTTTTACATTTTAATACATCTGTTGGATGTAACTGGGACCCTGTGTACACAATTTCGTTCCACATGTGGTGTGTATGACAAATAACGAACCTTGAATCCTTAAAACATGCCTTGCAGGCGTCCGCTTCCGAGTCTAATCCGTTACGTGCAGATGTCCGCGGACTGAGGTCCGCCCGAGTATGTGGGAGCCTTTAGTCCGGGTTCAGGATAGAGGTTAGCTTTGGGGCTTTCTTGAAATAAAGGAGTGGGCTATATCTCCCATAGTGAAACACTGAACGAAGTTAGAAAAAGAACGTCAGGTTACCTAACGTAACCCCGGTTCTTTTGACAACAGAGTGAGGTGTTTCACCAACATTTCCCTCCTTGCAAGGTCACGGAAAGAAATAATCCTAGAATGAGTAGTAGATGGTCGATTGACTGTGGTGTCATGTTGGGGGCGGAGCCCTGAGCATAGCTCAACCGGTCTGTCTTTGACAGACGTAATGTCATTGGAGCTTCCATAGATGGTCATGATGGAGCATTTCCCATAGTGAAACACCTCACTCTGTTATCAAAGAGCTGGGGTTACGTTAAGTAACCTAATGATCTTTTTTTGCTTAATTTAGCTACTATTTTGTTCCTGTTATTTTTAAACTGTTCTGTTGCTTTAAGCATTTAGATTGTGTTCGGCTCATTTTAGCCTCTGTTCTGCTAGTTTTCACTTAAGCCACTCAGTTTTAGCTTCTCTGCCAGATTTCAACTGTCATTTCTCTGGTTAGTTTTGTTAGCCTCTGATCTGCATCTCACTCTGCCACGTCCTGCAGGAAGGTTCGGCTGAAGAAGTGGTTGCAGATGTTTCCGGCTCTGTAGACCAGTTCTCCTTCAGGACCTCGGAGCTGGGCAGTCTCGGGTCGGACCTCGCTGTACTCCACCACCTGGGGCAGGCCTCGGACCCTGCAGACCACGCCCACCGGCTCCGCAGGATGGACCTTTTCCACCACCTGAGAATTGAAACGGGTCAGATGAGTTCAGTTCGTGTATACCTGATGGGGTCAGGGAGGCTGGTCTCGCACCTTGGCCCCACAGTCGGCCCCTCGGCTCACACAGAACCCAATGAAAACGGGGTCGGCCATCTTCACCAGGATGTTGTCCACACAGTACACGTGCACATACTCCACTCCTCTCTGCTCCATATCCTCCAGAACTTTATGATCCACTAACGCCTGGTAAAGACCACCGTTTCCATCTGGGACAGAGGTTATGACAGAAACGGTGCAATCACAATCTAAACCCACCTTGTTACCTAACATAAACCCACCAGTATACCTGACCAGAACCCATCAGTTTAGCTGACCTGAACCCACCTGTTTACCAGACTAGAACAAACCAGTTTGCCTGACCAAAACCCACCTGGAGCCATGGCGATCTTTCCTTTGCTCTCCAGGATGACTTTGCCATCAAAGGTCACAGTTGGGATCATCCTCTGCTCGAACATGATGATGTCTGATGGTTCCAGGTTGAAGAAATTGTTCTCTTTGAAGAACGTCTGTGTTGGAGTCAGAGTGAACTCACTGGTCATGATGTACCTGAAGAGGTGACCACACAGTGGGCGTGGACAGGAGATGTTACATTTCACCAAAACTGTCCGTATGAATCATGACAGTCTACTTTCACATTTCATATAAACATGGCGGCAAAAACTAATTAACTGAGGACCTGACCCGAACCCACCTGGTTACCTGATGGATGAACAGTTTTACTCCTAATTTTATTATAAACCTCCATCAAATCCAGGTGTGTTGTCTTTAACCCAGATGTTTGCATATTTTATCCCAGGTGTGTTTATAACATAACCAAGGAGTGTATATATGTAGCGCACTTGAAGTGGATCAGTAGGGAACAGGCACTAAACATCTACTAGGTTCTGCCAAGAGTAATAATGTCACACTAACTGAATACTGAACTGATTATTTTATTGCTTCCCAACATAAGCATTTAGAAAAAAAACTGTTTACAAATGTTGAAAAAATAAAATACAAGCAAAAATCAAATAGAGCTCTTTCCCCCTTAATAAAAAAAATGAAATAAAGTTCAGTTCTTTAGCAACGTTGCTGCCCAGCTAGTGTTGTGTATGGATCTTATCTGTAACCCAAGATGGATTTTCCGGATTGTGAAGGTTCTTCTGTGAAAGGATGTCCCGGCTGGCCGCACCGTTTACACCTGTCCACAGTTTGCATGGGCTCGGCTCGACATCACGATCAAAGAATCCAGAGTCACTATAAAACCAGTCTGCATAAAGTGCAGAAAGTAAATCATTCTGTTCCTGTTCAATTATGAGATTCCATGTCCTTTCTCAAGAATACAAATCATTCACATATTTCTCCTTTTCGTTTTTATCCTAATCAGCTTAAGTTTATGGTGAATTACCATGAAATGCAATAAACAGTAGTTAACAGTTAAGTATTTTTAGTGATAAACCAACAAAATACATTGACAACTTAAATATGTCGTGCATAACTTGTGAGTTAATCAAAATCAATGTTAGACTGCATAACATATCAGGCATATTAAACATTTTACCTTTCTTTTGCTTTTAAAATGTTGATTAATGAATTCATAACACTTCAACATATATTATTTTAACCAAAATCAACTTATAGTAGCTTTAACATGGCTTACTATGAACTGCATGCATTTTTAATGAACCAATATGATTTAGAATACAAAAAGCATATTCTTTGTCATTGTAGAGTTCATTCCAACCTTGTAAAATGATGCATGCCTTTAGCATTAGCACCTGTGGTTAGTGTTAGCATTAGCTCGGTTAGCATTTTTATTCTTATGTCTGTCAGTAGAATGATGTAAAACACACAGTCCCTTCATGCTCTGGTTGGTGAGTAAGAAAGTCATTGTCCCCAAATGCGTCAAGTGCTTTGTTAAAACGGTCAATAAAATTCTGGGCAAAGGAGATTAAGGGATTACCCAACTGAAAATAATGAAAACAGTCAGGTGGTCGTCGTGACCTTTCTGGCCTTCGGGCAAAATCTGGTGGGTCTTGAGCTGGAACAGTTTCACTCTTAGTTTCTCCCACAGGGTTTTCACAGGTAAGTAGGTTGTCTGATTCAGTGTTCTGTTGCAATTCTGCATTTGTTGCACTCTGTAGGTTATCTTCTCCATTTGTATTTGTCATTTCCAATAGATTGTCATTTCCATTAGTATTCGTCACATCTGGTGGATTGGCATTTACATTATTTGTGAGGTTTCCTCCACTTATCTAAAAAAGTTAAATCTGGTCCTCTGGACATTCAAAAAAAAAAAAAACCAAAGCAAATCAACAAAAAAATGTAGAAACGTTTCGTCTCTCATCCGAGAGACTTCCTCAGTCTGAGGTGCTGTATTCAGCTCAGTCTCTTAAATAGCACCTTCTCAGAGTGGATCAACCAGTTTTGCTGCTGACAACCAAAACCAGCTGATCACATGCTCAAGAAGGACCATCAGCCTAACAATGGATCATTAGCACACTGATGGCTGTTTACTACTCACAGAGGGCTGAGTGA